AAATTAATTTAGTGCTGAATACTGACCCAAGGAGTAAGGAAAAACGAAGGGCCAGCAGATTCAGCAGGCCAGTGGCCATCATGGGCCTGGAGAGTGGAATAGAAACTGATGGCCCTTCGTAGAGTAGTTGTGACTGCTTCCTCCGTCACCGTTTCTGTTTCTTTCACTTTCATTGCTGGTGGAATCGGTCCGCAGGGATTCTCTTTGGTAAGCTGGCAATAGAATTCGATCATCAATAAAAACTTCAAAAAGGAATATACATCCATTCATTTTGTTATCAATATCAAAGATTCGTGAGAGATGATATCATGAACTCCAAACCATGTCTTAAATAATTAAAAGTTTGAGACTTAAAAAATTTAATATCACTAAAAGTTTTATTTTGATAACAATTAGGCCAGAATTTTATTTTAAATTTATATTTAAAAAAAAATTAATTACTTTACCAAAAAACTGGTAAAGAAATATTTAATTCTTAGTTGCATGTTATTGTTGGTATTATTATTATTAAAAAATTAAAAAAATTAATTTACAGTTTAAATTATATTAAATTATAAAGTATAGACTCTTGGATGAGAAACAAATCCTCTTGTATTAGGAGCCATCCTCTTTTCTAAAAGTCTCTATTTTACGATCCATATAGTTTGAATTGTAAAATAATATATTTTTAAAATAATTCTTTTATTGATAAAGTATATAAAAAGAAAAAAAAGCATGTACAAAGTATTTTTTACAATATAATGTAACATTTATGATTAATTCTTTGTATTTAAGAGTTAATTATGAATTGATATGCATTTACTCATAATTAATATCAAGTTATATTATATATCAAGAATTATACATGAAAATATAATAATAATAATAATATGAAAACAACTTTTTATATAAGTCTTTTTTACGATCTTTATATGTTATTAAATAAATAAATATAAATAATATTATGAGTCTTAATAAAATAAAAAAATAAATTATTAAATGATAGGTAAGAAAAAGTAAAAAAATAATACATAAAATGAAAATATAGGAAAAAAGAAAAAGACAAAAAGATCTCAGCCATTAGTACTGTGGGTCCCACACCATAGCGTTGGTGTTGATAATTTGTCTTACGATTTTGTCCTGTGTTTTTGGTTCTATGAATAAGTGGTCAAAAGACAATAGGGAAAGTTCAATCTTCCCATGGTTGAAATATGGGTTGAAATCACGAATAATTAAGAAAGAGAGGGACATATTTATTCGAAGGTTAGAGCCTAGGAAATGACATTTTCTTTGAAAAATTTTGGAATGGATTGTCAATTGCCAATAAATTGGGTAGTACATAATCCATTTTGCATTTAACCCTACAAATTTTCGTTGATTGACTGCTGCATGATTTTCCTGTTTACATTTATAAAGGCGGTGTGGGTTGAGTCAACATCAATCTTAATTTAACTGGAACAAATATTTATCCCTTCTCTATATTTCCATTTAAAGCATATTGATAGAATTTGTAAATGTTTTAGTTTTTTGATATTTTTTTATGATTCATAAATTTAAAATTTTTTCTTAAAAATTTATATTTTTAAAATTTTTTAATCTTAAAAAGATTTTAAACAGTAAATTTTAAAAAATTTTAAACTTTTATTTTTTATAAATTTTTTTTACTCATTTTTTATTATTTTTAAAATAACTTTAAAATTTTTCCTCAAATAAAATTTTAAATGTAACATTCATAAACAATACTAAAAAAAAAAAAATTCCAAGAACCTTCACCAAACATAACCTTATTTCTCTCAATTTAAGTAAACTCTTAAGTCTAAACGTTCTCCTATACACATTTAACTTCAGTCCAAATAAAAGAAACGTTCTCATATACACATGTATATATATATATACACCTTTTTAATGTTCATATATATATATATATATTTGTAAAAACTTTTATATATATATACACATAGGATTAATGTTAAATGGTTTGAACTACATATTAAAAGTATAATTTATTTTATAAATTTATTAAATATTTATAATAAAACTATATAAAAAAATAATTTTATTAAAAATATTTTAATATATTTATAAGGTAAATTACAGTTTCTCTTACGAAATAGTTTTCTATGCATGTACAAAATACCTGCATTCTCATTAACAGATCTGAACTCTGTTTCACTTGAAATCGATTTTTTTTGAACTCCTGGCGGAACCTTTCCACTTGGGCACGTTCTTCCAATGTTCCAGCTTCTGGGTCAAATTCCCAGTGTTGTCTT